TAGGCTTTTTTAACTTGTTTATCTCACTCCAAAATCTTTTCTTATTTTCATCAAAATTTCTTGACATTGCCTCTCCCACTCTATCATCTGCTCCTCTCCTTTTGCACTCTCTGACCACTCTCTTCAGCTTTCTTTTACTCTCCATATACTCTGCTCTTTTTATAACACTTCTGCTTAGTGAAAGCCTCTCATGAGCTACATTTTTCTCTTTTATTGCACCCTTTGCTTCATCATTCCACCAGTCACTCTTTACTTCTGCACCCACCCTCCTATAACCACAAACTTCTGCCCCACATTCTAATACTGCATTTTTAAAACTATTCCAACCCTCTTCAACCCCCCACTACTCATACTTGCACTAGCCCACCTTTCTGCCAGTAGCTGCTTATATCTCACCCTAACTTCCTCCTCCCTTAGTTTATACACTTTCACCTCTCTCTTCCTTGTTTTTGCTATTTTCCTTTTGTCCCATCTACCTCTTAATCTAACTGTAGCTACAACTAAATAATGATCCGATATATCAGTTGGCCCTCTATAAACATGTACATCCTGAAGCCTACCCATCAACCTTTTATCCACCTATACATAATCTAACAAACTACAGTGGACCCCCGCTTAACGATCACCTCCAAATGCGACCAATTATGTAAGTGTATTTATGTAAGTGCGTTTGTACGTGTATGTTTGGGGGTCTGAAATGGACTAATCTACTTCACAATATTCCTTATGGGAAAAAATTCGGTCAGTACTGGCACCTGAACATACTTCTGGAATGAAAAAAGTTCGTTAACCGGGGGTCCACTGTACTTTCATTACGTGCTATATCATACCTTGTACGTATACTTATCCTCTTTTTCATAAAATATGTATTACTTATTACCAAACCTCTTTCTACACATAGCTCAATTAAAGGCTCCCCATTTTCGTTTTTCCCTGGCTCCCCAGATTTACCTACTACTCGCTCCACAACATTTTTACTCACTTTAGCATTGAAATCCCCAACCACAAGTACTCTCACACTTGGTTCAGTACTCCCCACGCACTCACAGGGGGAGGAGATAAGTTAGCTCACGAGGCCTTTAGTAATAATCCATTATCATAGGTCATTCAGTGATTTGGCTAAACTAAGTCACTCAGTGAATTAGCTAGGGAGGTTTAGCTAGGAATTCAACAGATTTAGAAAAAACTAGGTGATGCATTTATCTGAGAGACATCACAGGTACCTTGCTGTAATATAATCAGAGACACACCAAATGCTTGATACTTCCAGTAACCCCTGAATAAGACATCACACACTTGAGCCAGACCCCCACATTGACAACTAGGACTCTCGCCCACCTGTCCCCATCTCCGCTCCCCACTTTATGAACGTGTAATTTTCTCAGCCTTTGTACTTCTTGCTGATGAGGATCTTGGACCAAGATTAATTTCACAGATTAATTACAGTCAATTTTTGCCCTGGCATATATGCATGAACAAGACTCACCTTAACCCTTTTGGGGTCCTTGACCCCCAATCTGAAACTTGTCCACAGGGTCAAGAATTGTCCAAAAAAAAATTTTTTTATTTTTTCTTATGAAATAGTAGAGAATCTTTTTTCTGAAGGTAATAAAACAAAAAATGTGAAATTTGATAGAAAATTGATGAAATTACTCTGTCGCGAATTTTGCTGCGTGAGCATTATTTACACATCAGTGATTTTGCCCACTTTGACTCCTATTTTAGGCCAATTACATTGTTCCAGTTAACCAAATTCTTAGCTATTTCACTAGCATATCTTCTGTTTTATCGATTGAGCACAAGAAATTGCCCAATTAACTATTTCAACTACCTAATAGTGATCAGAAATTGGTAATTTGGCCAGTTTCACACAAATTTCAAAATATTCCAATTTCAAAATAGGGTCCAGAATAAACAGTGCAGGCATTCTTAGCACTAAAATAACATTTTCTTTGTTTATTAGTTATGTGTCCAGGCTTTACACATGAATTCTATTTTGATTTTTTATTCACACCAAAAAATAGAAGATTTACTGTTATGCAATATTGTAATAATTGTATAAATAATATCAGCACATTCGTGAATGCATATTAGATGCACCATCTGACATGTATTGGACACCTAATGTGATATGTTTACTCTTGAACATTGGCAAAAATCGAACATTTCCACTAATTTGAGCTCAATTTCAAGCTATTTTTATTTCTAAAAACAGCCAAAATCATCCCTCTTTCTGTAATGTAACTTACATTCTATCAAATAAGACCTAGAAACCATGAATACATCCATAAAAACCATACGAAAATACACCACAAAGTCGCTGTTTTAATCTAAAAATACGGTTGCAGTTTTTTCTCATTATGCTCTGTGTGCTGCAGGATTTTTTTTATATGGTGCACACTTACCATATAGATGCATTCTCTCATATCTTGGTCCAAATTTACTGCTCACAGCTTATCTGAGTGAGCTGAACTCATGGCATAGAACTAACGCACTAACCCTGGCTTCAAAGCTGTAGAACTACAGCACGGACCCTCAAAGGGTTAATAGAATGGCACATTTTTGTACAGGTATAACATATTGGCTAATCTCATTAAGCAGAGCAAACCAAAGAAGAAATAGGCTCTCTCACTTCCTAGCTCTTTTGCTAGAAAGACAGTGACATGGTGGTCCATTGTTTACATACCTAAGCACAACAATCCCACCCAGCTTCCAGTGTGCAGGTACTGTTTTTTCTACCACAACTTGATTTGGCGGTTTGGAGGAATATGTTGCATATCTTTATACGTATATGCTTCTAAACTGTTGTATTCTGGGCACCTCTGCAAAAACAGTGATTATGTGTGAGTGAGGTGAAAGTGTTAAATGATGATGAAAGTATTTTCTTTTTTTTTTTTTTTTTTTTGGATCACCCTGCCTCGATGGGAGACGGCCGACTTGTTAAAAAAAAAAAAAGAGCTTGATTTCTCAGAATCCCTTTATATATTAATGGGTATCTTATATACACTCCATGATATATATTTCTGGGGAAGAGCCATACCTGAAAGGGCTATACAGTAACTTAGTAATGGGGAGTAATTAGGTTTGATTCAGGGAGAGGGTAGTGACAGGTCCATGGATCAGGAGCCTTTGAAGATCAAGGCATTCTCTCCACTCTACAATCTCTCACACACTCATATATCTATTGTTTGTTTTTATATTTATTGACTAGATGTGTTCATTCAGAAAACAGAAGCAGTGTGGTGTGGAGCTCACTATGAGGATTGTCAAGTACTAAGGAGTGGTATGGTTAAGTAGGGTGTTAGATTAATTTGCTTAGGAGGAATAGCAGGAAGTCCATAGAAGCCAAGGCATAAGCATGGAAGAACAAAGAAAGGAATCTTGTGAGCCAGGATCTTTTTTTTTTTTTTTTCCAACAAACCGGCTGTATCCCACCAAGGCAGGATGGCCCAAAAAGAAAACCAAAAGTTTCTCTTTTTAAATTTAGTAATTTATACAGGAGAAGGGGTTACTAGCCCCTTGCTCCTGGCATTTTAGTCGCCTCTTACAACACACATAGCTTACGGAGGAAGAATTCTGTTCCACTTCCCCATGGGGATAAGAGGAAATAAACAAGAACAAGAACTAGTAAGAAAATGGAAGAAAACCCAGAGGGGTGTATATATATATATATTTTTTTTTTTTCACCAAGTCGGCCATCTCCCACCGAGGCAGGGTGACCCAAAAATGAAAGAAAATCCCCAAAAAGAAAATACTTTCATCATCATTCAACACTTTCACCACACTCGCACATTATCACTGTTTTTGCAGAGGTGCTCAGAATACAACAGTCTAGAAGCATACACATATAAAGATACACAACATATCCCTCCAAATTGCCAATATCCCAAACCCCTCCTTTAAAGTGCAGGCATTGTACTTCCCATTTCCAGGACTCAAGTCCGACTATATGAAAATAACCGGTTTCCCTGAATCCCTTCACTAAATATTACCCTGCTCACACTCCAACAGATCGTCAGGTCCCAAGTACCATTCGTCTCCATTCACTCCTATCTAACACGCTCACGCACGCTTGCTGGAAGTCCAAGCCCCTTGCCCACAAAACCTCCTTTACCCCCTCTCTCCAACCCTTTCGAGGACGACCCCTACCCCGCCTTCCTTCCCCTATAGATTTATATGCTTTCTATGTCATTCTACTTTGATCCATTATGGTAGTAGGTTGGTAGACAGCAACTATCCAGGGAGGTACTACCGTCCTGCCAAGTGAGTGTAAAACGAAAGCCTGTGATTGTTTTACATGATGGTAGGATTGCTGATGTCTTTTGTCTGTCTCATAAATATGCAAGATTACAGGCATGTCTTGCTACTTCTACTTACACTTAGGTCACACTACACATACATGTACACATTTATTTATACACACTCATCTGAGTTTTCTTTGATTTTATCTTAATAGTTCTTGGTCTTATTACTTTTCCTTTTATATCTATGGGGAAGTGGAATAAGAATCTTTCCTCCGTAAGCCATGCGTGTTGTAAAAGTCAACTAAAATGCCGGGAACAATGGGCTAGTAACCCCTTTTCCTGTAAAGATTACTAAAAAGAATAAGAAGAAAATTTTCAATATAATATATATATATATATGCTCGTACATGTATGTGTAGTGTGACCTAAGTGTAAGTAGAAGTAGCAAGACGTACCTGAAACCTTGCATGTTTACGAGACAAAAAATGAACACCAGCAATCCTACCATCATTTAAAACAATTACAGGCTTTCGTTTTACACTCACTTGGCAGGACAGCAGTACCTCCCTGGGTGGTTGGTGTCTACCAACCTACTACCTGAGCCAGGATTTTTATGTTGATTAAAAGGCAGACCTGTCAAATTAAGAATGAGCTCATTCACTTCTGATTTGCATTTCTGCACTCTGTGTTCTTCGAAGCATAGTTTTGAGTAGAGTATAATTTACAGGACTTGTTATAATGGTGTATATGTTTCAGAATTTGGCAGAGGAAGATGAGAAAATTCTAGAACATTTCATGAATAAGGATGCAGTGCCACAGAAAAAATTAGCAGACTTATTTAGAGACAAGATCACAGAAAAGCAGACAGAAATACAAACACAAGTGGATGCTAGTAGTAAGTGTTTTTTTCTTTCTTTTTAAATATTATATCACTTACAGCCCATCTTCACAAAAAGCTAGAAAAAAAATGCTGTTATTAACAGAATATTTTTACTTTGTAAGTGTTTTTTTCTTTCTTTTTAAATATTATATCACTTACAGCCCATCTTCACAAAAAGCTAGAAAAAAAATGCTGTTATTAACAGAATATTTTTACTTTGTTTATTGGCAATTAACCCTTTGACTGTTGCAACCCCCAATCCTGAGGTGTCTCCTGGTGTTGCAAAATTTAAAAAAAAAAAAAATATTTTTTCTTATGAAATGATAGAGAATCTTTTCCCGATTGTAATGACACCAAAAAAACGAAATTTGATGGAAAAATGACGGAATTATGCTCTCGCGAAGTTAGCGACCTCGGCGCTGTTTACAAATCGGCGATTTCGCCCACTTTGAGCCCTATTTTCGGCTAATTCCCTTGTTCCAGTCGCACAAACTCATAGCTATTTCTTTAGAACTCCATTTTTTCTATCGATTGAGTACAAGAAACTGCCCATTTACCGATTTCAACTACCTAATACAGTGGACCCCCGCATACCGATTTTAATCCGTGCAAGAGGGCTCATTGGTATGTGAAATAATCGGTATGCGAATGAATTTTCCCCATAAGAAATAATGGAAATCAAATTAATCCGTGCAAGACACCCAAAAGTATGAAAAAAATTTTTTTACCATGTGAAATATACATTTTCCTACACACAAAGAGAAGGATACATGCCCAATAGTAGAGTAGTACATGCACAGTATATATTGTGCATGTACTAGTCTACTAAATGAAGAATAAATGACACTTACCTTTATTGAAGATGCAGCAATGACTGATGAGACACTGTGTCCTAGGAGTGCCTTTTCCTCCTGAGTACTGTAGGTCCTGTTTGGTATTTTCTTCCAGAACATGCCTTATCACACTGTGTATGTCACTACGATTCTTAAATCTCTCAAACCAACCTTTGCTGGCTTTAAATTCACCAATATGAGCACTAGTTCCAGGCATTTTTCCCTGTTCACCTGGTGTTAGTCGATTGGTGTGGGTTGCATCCTGGGAGACAAGATTAAGGACCCCATGGAAATAAATTAGCAGCACGTGACCAGAAATTTTAGGGTTATACCTGGGTGTATCCTCTGGGGTTAATGTTTTTTGTAATTCTCAATAAGCCACACAAAAATGCTACAGCAGCAGCAACGATGCTAACATCAGCAAGCAGACAATGTTAGTGGCGAGCAGCAGACGAATGCTACGCGCAGCAATTTGTGTTTTAGCAGTTTTTTCTTCTTTCAATTTTTACAGCCATACGATGCCGAAGCCAAAGCGTACATTATAAGCAGCAGCGATTGAAACACAAACGCCAAGATATGCTATATGTCCAGAGTATTACATAACAGCACAGAAGTCACAGCAGCACAGAGACGATGCTACAAACAATGCAGCAGACGATGCTACAGCAGCAGGAGCAGGAACTCTGAAACAGCACCAGCACAGAGGCCTACAGCCGCACACTAACGTGTCAGACGTTGCCGTCGTTTAGAGCAGCAGCGATCTCTCTGACAAATTCTTGAGTGAAAGCTGATAAGCACAGCTGCAGGCTCAGTCATCAAACAATGTTAAGAGAATTGAGCCAGTGTACTGCAGCAGTAGAGACTGCTACAGCAGCAGATGCAGTGCGACTAACAGCAAACAAAAGACGATCTACAGGCAGCTTACATGCTATTATGGCAGCAAGACATGCTTAGCATTGAAAGCCAGAGATGGAAAAAGTTTCATGTACCACTTGTAACTCTTACAACACAGTAACACAAACCAATCAGCATGACACTTGCAACCAAACGCAGTTTGATAAACAATGCACTGCACTGTTCGCAAACGTCAAGTCATCGATCGCTTGCCACTGCTGCAGCATACGGAAGCGTTGTCACAAATGTGACATCTCGTTTGTCATGCCCCGTAATGCCATGATTCATTGGCATTTAAACACCTGCACTTCCCTCACCACGAAACCTGCGTTGAGCTGGGGATAGTTACGATTAGAACGCACTTGGCCACACACATAGTCTTGTTTCACTCGCATGAAATCACTGAGTAATGGGGTTGTGTACCAGTTATCGGGATAAAATGTATGGCCCTTACCAAATAAGGGCCATCGTTTCTCACTACGTCACCTGAAACCCAATAACATCTTGGGACTTTCAAATTTTTTTTACCCGTGTATACAAAATATCCAAAACCCGGCCACTGTCACAATCCAGAGTCAAACAATTTTATACCAAAACGGTTCCCTCTCGGTATATACTGCTTGAATGCAGTCCCCCACCTTTGAAAAAAAACAAAGACTCGCAAATTTTCAAGATTTGAATGGATAAAAATATACCTGAACTTTTGTTTTAGATACGAAAACATTTTCTAATCTTTTTAACCTTTTACTTCTGTCAAAGGGCCCGGTTTTTTTCAGAGAAGTGCAACAACGTAAAGAAGATAAACCTGTTCACTGGGATTTTTTTTACTGAAGGATGGGGGACAAAATTGCCGATCTGTGGACCAGTAGCTTTTAATTTTGCTTATAGACGGAGGAAAGCATTATTGTTGCAAAAAAACAAAACATTTCTTTTCAACACTCTCTTTCCACCCGTGTAGTCTTTACTGTGGTGATAAGACGTATTTTCCATGGGTCTGAAAATACTTTTACTTTTCCCCGACAAAAGTTTCCATCAAAAGGGTGGTCAAAGAATAATTCAAAGAAAATTTCCCTTCATTGGGGCCCTTTCCAAGGGACGTGGTAGAATTCCACTTTGCGAGTCATCAAAGTGGGAGGGTGGAACAAAATTGGGGTTTTGCTGCCAATCCCCGATCGGTTTGCTGGGGGATACGAAAATCATGCTGGTTGTACGGGGGGGTTTGGGGGCTGGTGGGTGACCTCCGCTTTTCCCTTTAACGACGAGTCAGCACGTGGGTTCCCCGGGCACAGCGAGTCACGATGGCGGTGCCACTACCACCACCACCCACTAACACCACCACTGATGCTGTGGCCCATCCATGCCAATGTAGCCACTCACCTCACTATCACTACCTAAAACGGGTGTAGGGGCCACGGGGTGACCCGGGATGTACTACGGGATGTACTTTTCCCCTCCCCTGGGCTAGCATAGGGTACACTACCCCAGCGCATGCGGCGGCGCACATACCCCACGCTTCACTGTGAATATTTTTCCCCCCCCCATCACACTCGAATGATGCGAGCCAATAAAATCAAATCCACGTCAGAAACATCGCATTACTGAAGTCAAGGCCCGGCCACGGAAAATATTTGTTTTCTCTTACGTTTTTGGAAAAACCGACCGTGAGTCACGATGCCCACACCAGAGGGAAAGGTCGAGGATCGTCGGGGTTTTTAATTTTTTTTTGGTTTTTTTTTTTTTTGGGTTGTTTTTTCCACTAAAATTTGAATATCCGGAAAGGGGCCCCAACCATAAGCTGACTTGCGGGCGAGACATGGTGAACAAGGGTGACTGGGGCCGCTTCCCACAATGCTATCAGGCCCTAGATTTTTTGTTACCCGGGGCACACCCACCGCGCAGACCCATTTTCTCATAGTAGGGCCATGAGCGCTTTTTGCGCTAAAATTTTACGGCGCTAGAATTTTTCGTAGATCACGGTTTGGACACCACCGCCAGCCTAGATCTACGGACGGACCCTGGAAGGGGTTTAAAGGGCCCCCAATGGGAAAAAATTAGACATCTTTCGTGCCGACTTTTTTGGTTATCCCTGGGGGGCAAATCCTCTGGGGTTTTTTTTTTTCTTTTGGTATTTCCAATAAGCCAACCAACAACAGTGCACAGCAGCAGCGACGATGCTCATCACACAGACGATGCTACAAGCAGCAGCAAACAGACATGCTACAGCAGCACAACGAGCTACGCAGCAGCACACCCGACAGTGCACAGCAGCAGCAGGGCGTGCTACAGCACAGCAGCGCTGACAGTGCTACAGCAGCAGCAGACGATGCTATACAGCAGCAGCAGACGATGCTAAGCAGCAGCAGACGATGCTACAGACAGCAGCAGACGATGCTACAGCAGCAGCAGCAGCAGACGATGCTACAGCAGCAGCAGCAGCAGACGATGCTACAGCAGCAGCAGCAGCAGACGATGCTACAGCAGCAGCAGCAGACAGTGCTACAGCAGCAGCAGACGATGCTACAGCAGCAGCAGACGATGCACAGCACAGCAGCAGCAGACGATGCTACAGCAGCAGCAGACGATGCTACAGCAGCAGCAGCAGCAGCTGACAGTGCTACAGCAGCAGCAGACAATGCTACAGCAGCAGAGCAGCTGACAGTGCTACAGCAGCAGCAGACGATGCTACAGCAGCAGCAGCAGCTGACAGTGCTACAGCAGCAGCAGACGATGCTACAGCAGCAGCAGACGATGCTATAGCAGCAGCAGACGATGCTATAGCAGCAGCAGACGATGCTACAGCAGCAGCAGACGATGCTACAGCAGCAGAGCGAGCAGCAGCAGAACGATGCTACAGCAGCAGCAGCAGCAGACGATGCTACAGCAGCAGCAGCAGCAGCAGCAGACGATGCTACAGCAGCAGCTGACAGTGCAGCAGCAGCAGCTGTACCACCAATAGTAGCGATGGTTGATTGGGGTTTATTATACAACCTGGCCAGCTCGGAGACACGCACTCCACTTTCATACTTATCAATGATCTTTTTCTTCATCTCTATAGTAATTCTCACCCTTATTGCTGTAGGGTTGGCACTAGAAGCTTTCTTGGGGCCCATGGTCACTTATTTTCCAGATAAAATCACCAAAAACACTGTAATAATACGAAATGTTACGATTGTATGCTTGGATGCTACCGCGGAGGCTGGCTGGTAAACAATGCCACCGGCGGAACATGTGAGGCTGGCTAAGGCGCACATTGGACGCGTCTCGGACGAACAGTGGTGAGCGGGTTTTTAAGCGGCATGCGAGGCAAAATATTAGCGATAAAATGTATCAGTATGGGGATTAATCGTTATGTGATGCCAACGGTATGCGGGGGTACACTGTAATGTGGTCAGAAATTTGCAATTTGGCCAATTTCATGAAAACTAAAAAATATGACAATTTCAAAATAAGGTCCAGAATGAACAATGCAGACATTCCTGGCTCTAAAATAACATTTTCTTTGTTCATCAGTCACGTCTCCAGGTCCCTCTGATATTACTCTTGCTTTCTATTTTGAATTTTTATTCAAACAAAAAATAGAAGACTTACTATTATGCAGACTACTGCAATACTGTAATAATTGTATAAATAACATCAACCCATTCATGACTGCATATTAGAATGGCTAGTTGGACATTTATTGGACAATGGCATCATTTGTTTACTTTTGAACATTGGCAAAAATCAAACATTTCCCCTACTTTGAGCTCCATTTCTAGGTTCTTTTTATAGTAAAATCAATGAAAATCACCTCTATTTCTATAATATGTTTTCCATTCTATCAAATGAGACCAAGAAAACGAGAATACAACCATAAATACTATACGAAAATAGACCACAAAGTCGGCATTTTAATTAAAAAAAACGGTCGGAGTTTTTTTTTTCTCATTATGCACTGCGTGCTCCAGGATTTTTTTTATATGGTGCATGCTGACCACACAGACCCATTCTCTCACATGTGGGCCTACCAGCTTTCTCCTGCTTGATTTGAAGCCACTAGAATTTATGAGTATATATACGTCAAACACGGTACCTCGTAAGACATATATATACGGCCGCGACAGTCAAAGGGTTAACTATATTTTACAGTTTCATTGAAGGTAACCCAAGATTTTTTCTTTTTATTAAGAAAAATAAGGAAATAGTATATTAAATAAGTAAATGAACAGTGTAAAGTAAGGATGAGTTATCGCTTGATATTAAAAGGATTCCCTGCTATCAATGTTTTTATTTCCACTTGCTAGTTTTTGCCATTGCCTTCTGTGTAATAGAGCAGTTGCCCTTGATGGCCCATACACACACATCCATTGCTTGTTGAGAAAACCCTCCAGTGTAAACTGCTTCACTTTCATGATGGTCAAGCCAGCATTGCTTTGGAGGGTAACTAATGATGCTATTCCATTCAACGTAGGTTCCTTGATGCTGGTGAGGGGTTCTTGATCTAAGAAATTGAATCTGCTTATGTTACTTGAATTGACTTTAAATGCCTTCCATTCCCACAAGCACTGTATGATCCTTGTGGGGTTATCACTCCTCCATGAATGTAATAATAATAATAATGACATTATTCATAGTAAATTGAAACCTAAAAATGCTCTCTCTGCCTTTTAAGAGAACAACCTTGAAGTAAAAAGAGTAGCCACCTTAGAAGAATGTTAAATCATCTTCACAGGTGCAGTGATGCTTGTTTAAGTGCAAGGGAGAGAGAAGAGGGGGTATCTTTATAACTTCTTGAACAAGAGTTGTTATCAAGGGCAGAAAATATTCCCTTGAAAATGCAGTCACATCAGGTGTCTGAGAGGAGTGACAGGAGGTGGAAAAAGAAGTATTGTATACTCCATAGCAAAAGGAGATCTTTTTAACCCAAGGTACTGTTTGTTCCTTGGCCTTTAGTATTAATTTTATGTATCACCTCTTCCCTATCTTGATGATAAAGGTAAAAGTGTAAGTAACATGATTTTTCAAGCCTCTTTGTGGTTTTATGTACAAAATGTTGTGGTCAGAGTACTTTTCAGGACAAAACTGACAGTTTGTTCTCTATATATACATCCAGAGTACTGAGCCAAAATGACTATGAAGATCTCTTGCATGAACAGTTATTTGTTTTAAATGTTAATTTATTCATTATCTTCTTTTAAATTGTCCAGTTTCTTTCATACCAGTTTCCAATTTCAAAAGTTTTTAACCTTGCAATTTGGCCAGGGGCCAGGCTTTTGTGTTGATTGCCAGTTCAGCTAGGCTTTTGCTATTGGTGTCCAGATAACCCATATACTTACCACAGCCTAGTTGCTCTGACACTTAGGGAAGGCAGAGATTCCTTGTTTAGGCATTAAACTATATTCTAGAAGAGACAATTTTTAACATTTTCATAAATTAATTGTTTGTTTACAGGTGTGCAAACAGTTAATCTCAGCCCTGAGATACAAGAAATGTGTGTACAGGTTGGAAAGGTATTGGCTAAATACCGTAGTGGACCCTTACCGAAGATGTTCAAGGTTATACCAAAGATGCGCAGCTGGGAAGAACTTGTTTACATGACGAGTAAGAATTTTTTTGCTGAACTGCTGTTCATGTTCTTCAAACCAAGTATTGTGATAAGCATAATTTTTTTGTTGCCTTAAAGTTAATTTATTACTATAATAGAGATGTAGCAACTGTATGAAGCATTTTAGTTAATAATTTTTCCATGTGAAGTGTAATTAAATTTTTTTTAACACGTCGGCCGTTTCCCATCGAGGCAGTGACCCAAAAAGAAAGAAAGAAAAACTTTCATCATCATTCAACACTTTCACCATCACACATACATAATTGCTGTCTTTGTAGAGGCCCTCAGATACAACAGATTAGATGTTTCTCCAAACTGCCAGTATCCCCTCCTTTAAAGTGCAGGCATTGTACTTGCCACCCCCAGGACTAGAGTCTGGCTAATCAGTTTCCTTGACTCCCTTCGCAAAATATTACCCTGTTCACACTCCAACAGCTTGACAAGTCTCAAAAACCATTCCTCTCCACTCAGTTCTATATAATACACTCACACATGCCTATTGTACGTCCATGCCCCTTGCATACAAAGTCTTTCTTACCCCCCTCCTTCCATCCTTTTCTAGGATGACCCCTATCCCTCCTACCTCCACTACAGATTTATACACCCTCCAAGTATCCTATTTTGATCCATCCTCTAAATGGCCAAAGCATCTCAACAACCCCTCCTCAACCCTCTGAACAATACTTTTAGTAACTCAACACCTTCAAATTTCCACACTACGAATTCTCTGCATAATATTTATTTGATGCGACATATCCACTACCTTCAGCCTTCTCCTCGCTGCAACATTTACAACCCATATTTCACACCCTTGTAAAAGTGTTGGTACCACTATACTCTCATGCATTCCTTTCTTTGTCTCCATGGATAACATTCTTTGTCTCCATAAATACCTCGGTGCACCACCCAGTAAATGGGCAGTTTCTTGTACTCAATCAATAGAAAAAATGGAGTTCTAAAGAAATAGCTATGAGTTTGGGCGACTGGAACAATGGAATTAGCCGAAAATAGGGCTCAAAGTGGGCGAAATCGCCGATTTGTAAACAGCGCCGAGGTTGCTAACTTCGCGAGAGCATAATTCCGTCAGTTTTCCATCAAATTTCGTTTTTTCGGTGTCATTACAATCGGGGAAAGATTCTCTATCATTTCATAAGAAAAAATAATTTTTTTTTTTTTTTTTAAAATTTTGCGACACCAGGAGACACCTCAGGATTGGGGGTTGCGACAGTCAAAGGGTTAAACTAACTGATACAGCAGGTAAGGTTCCGGGCTACTGCTGTAAAGCAAAAGTCACTGTAAAGTGAAACATAGTCTTGTTTAACTTTCAAATCCATATACTGTAAAAGCCTGATAACATATACAGTGGACCCCCGGTTAACGATTTTAATCCGTGCAAGAGGGCTCATCGTTTGCTATATAAGTTATGCTCAATAATGTCCCTATTACATCCAATGCACTTATACAAATCTTTGTAACCACCGCCCAATCCATCCTATTAAAAACCCTTCTTTACCACTCCAATTAGATTTTATATCACACAACCTGACCAAGTATCATTTACTCCATCCCTAATTAGCCAAAGCATCGTAATAATGCCCTGGCACCCTCGAACAATTACTTTTAACTTAACACCTCAATTTCCTACCATTAGAACTTGAGTAAATATTTTTGTGATGGACATCATTCTCTTTAATCCCTTGCCAGCTCAAGCTACATTACCTACTTCACACCCAATGTCAAAGTGTTGGTACCCTATCTCTCTGCATTCCATACTTTCCTCAATGGGATAACATTCTCATTGTCTCCATAAAACCTCGGTTGCACCACCGTGAAGGGCGTTTTCTGTACAATCAATGAAAACATTGAGTTCAATTACCAATAGTTGAGTTGGCCACTGGAACATGGAATTGCCGATAACTGGGCAGTAAGGGCCAAACCTCAACGTTTTTAAATCCACCGAGTTTCTAACTTTTTCGAGCAGATTGCCGTCAATCTTTCAATTGCCGTGTTTTTCGTGTCATAAACAACGGAAAAGATTCTACTAATACAATTTCATAAGAAAAATGAATTTTTTTTTTTTTTTTTATGTTGGTAAACCAGGGACGGCCGGCCTCAGGTTGGGGATTGCGCGTCCAAAGGTAAATCTAACGGTTTTACACGGTAAGGTCCGGGCTACTTGTTAAGATAAGTCAATGTAATAGTTAACATGTCAAAAATTATCAAATCCATCTTTGGAAAAGCGTAACATATATACACTATCATATATTGAGGAGGAAACAAGGCCACACAGAGAGATTTACTGTCATATCTGGGCACCTTCACAAAGACAGTGATTTTGTGTGAATGATGGCGAAAGTGTTTTTCTTTTTTGGGTCACGCTGCATCGGTGGGAGACGGCTGGCATGTTAAAAAAAAAATATTAAGTGAGCAATAGAGCTAGGCCTAAAAAATACAAATACAGTACACACATTACTTACCTTAAAATACTTTCATCCTTAGCTTATAGTGAGTGGTGAATATATTTATTGTAGAAAGTCTGAATAAATGAAGAATTGGTACAATTGAAAACCGCTGCTTTAGCAAAATGCCATAAAGCGAGGCCTACCTGTATTATGAAAGTGAATTCACCGCATCAGTAAATTTTAATTCTTAAAATTAAATATGTTTAAAGCAATAAATCATAAACAATTCTATTGCTTTTTAAATAAAACAAACAAACCATGCTTCACTTGTGATCTGATTACCCCTTGCACTTCAGCATGATTCAAAGGATCTGTTAGTTTTATTCATAATTCCAAGCCAGGCAGTAAAGTTTTAAGGTTTTTTTTATTGCATTAGAGAAAAGAATAATTACACTAAGAGATGTTGTGTAATACAGTATGTACATATGCATATACTTTGCATACCACTTCAATTGTATTTAATTTTGTGTTTTATTAAGTAAAATAGTTTGAATATACTGAAAATGCAATGTAGATACTGTGTAGCACTTGCAAAAACAGGAATCATGTGACTGATTTTTTTTTTTTTTTTAATTCTGCTATATTGTGTCTACCTCTAAAATTAATAATGTTAGTAGAATTACTGACAAAATGTAAAGTAAAAGGACACAAGTGCAACTAATGTGACATTTTATTGTGGCAACATTTGTAATGGCTTGACAAAGCTCCTGGAGAGCGAAATGTTGCCACAATAAAATGTCACATTAGTTGCACTCATGTCCTTTAACTTTACACTTTAAAATTAAGTGGAATCTATATTGTGTCTGCCTCTGAGGATATATGGAGTCCTTAGATTGTTATCCACTTATCAATTTACTATCTAAAGAAAAGACAGATGCAGAGAGAGTTTTTATTGTTACATTTTGTTCTACATAGAGCAAAATATTGCCACAATTAAAGCTCTGTCATCAGTTTGTTGTCTAGTAAAAATTTGTTCATACAGTTTTTGCCCCTACAGATCCTGATAAATGGTCTGCTGCTGCTATGTATCAAGCTGTTAGGATTTTTGTCAGCAACCTTAAGGAAGCAATGGCTCAGCGGTTCTTCAACTTAGTTCTCTTACCACGAATTCGTGATGATATATCTTTCTACAAGCGGCTCAACTTTCATCTTTATCAATCATTGTATAAAGCCCTTTTTAAGCCAGCTGCTTTCTTCAAGGGTGTTTTGTTACCTCTATGCATGGTGAGTGACATTTATAATGAACTTTCATAATGTAAAAACCTGCTTGCTGGACTTAATGCAAAACTTCCTAATTCAAGAATTGGTATAATCTTGTTAATCTTTAGTTCCAAGAATTGAGTACATACAGGTATTACCTTCAGAAGGTAATCTTATTTTATTGTCTTTTCCTACTTATTTTCTTATATTTTCTTTTTTATTGTTGAACAGAACATCATCTCATGGATACCTATGATTTTCCATTGGAATTATTGTAATCAGAACTAAGTGCTAAACCACCAGGGTCATACAGCTTTCAATTTGATGCATATAAGTATTGAGGAAAAAAAAATTGAAGGATAGATGTAGATAACTGATTTTAATTTATTTACTTATAGTCTGGCAACTGTACTCTACGTGAGGCTGTGATAGTAGGGTCTGTGCTTGCCAAGAATCGCATACCAATACTTCATTCTGCTGCAGCCATCCTCAAAATTGCAGAGATGGATTATACTGGACCAAATTCAATATTCTTAAGAATATTCTTTGATAAGCAGTATGCCCTACCCTATAGAGTAATTGATGGCTGTGTCTATCATTTTCTCAAGTAAGTTGTACTAATTTGTTTTTATGGTTCGATGAATTGTACAGCACATCCAGAGTTAATATCTGAAAATACTGTTTGGAGTGACATCTAAACTGTTGTATCTAAGCACAGTGATTGTGTGAATGATGGTAAAAGTGTTCTTTCTTTTTTGGGTCATCCTACCTTGGTGGGAGACAGCTGATGTGTTGAAGGAAAAAAAAAATATTAACCTTATATGTAGAGTATGTCATTTGAGTTGTAGTGTCTACACTTCAGGCAAGTGATGGTTTATGTCTCCTTTGGGTCACTCTACTTTGGTAGACAATGGCTAATCTTTTTCTTTCAACAAACTGGCTGTATCCCACCGAAACAGGGTGGCCCAAAGAGAAAAAATTTCTCTTTTCAACTTTAGTAATGTATACAGGATAAGGGGTTACTAGCCCCTTGCTCCCGGCGTTTTAGTCGCCTCTTATGACACGCATGGCTTACGGAAGAAGAATTCTGTTCCACTTCCCCATGGAGACAATGGGTAATATGATAATAAAAAAAAAGTTACACCAATCTGATCTGTAGATGCTTATTTGACTGCAACTTTAGCTTCCTAAATACCATGGCATATATTTGTTAACCTACCTAGGAGTGTACTTTGTTGTTCATTTCTTCATCATGGAAATACCTTGCCTTTGATTTCATTAGGTTTGAGCATGATCGCCGGGACCTACCTGTTTTATGGCACCAGTCATTACTAACATTTGTGCAGCGCTACAAAGAGGACCTTAGTCCAGATCAGAAGCAATCCCTTTTGGATGTTGTGAAGTTCCATACTCATCATGCCATAACTGGAGAGGTTAGTAGTAAGTTTGTTAATGAATAATATTTTGTTTAACATTAGAATTTTAGTATATGATGGCCTTTTAGGAAAAAAAAAGTTATAATGTGTCTGTAAATGTGTGAAACCAGGACTTGAGTGAACTCTCTAGTAAATACGTACGACCTAGCCTAATGCACGTCAGAAACTTTGCCAAAACCGTGTGTATGAAATTGACATTTGCACTAAGAGGCCAGTTGATGTAAGGAATTGGAATTGTAGTCCTTCCTGCATGGACAGATGCCCACACACAATGTGACCCCTTGCTATGTCCCCAAGCTTGATTCTGGAACCTATACTAGTGGCATTCTGCTATGCCTCACTCTGTGGAATATACAGTACAGTAAACTATCGTGTAACCTTTTGCATATGTTCCTTAATATTGGCACCTTATGGAAATGAGCTTTATGTGAAGAACACTGTGTTAAAATAGGGTTATGTTCCAGACACCACCAATTTTCATTTTCATTTTTTTTTTTTTTTTTTTTTTTTTTTTTTTTTTTTTTTTTTTTTTACTATTCTGCTAGGTAAATTACTAAAATAACTTCTACTAGTTATTTCATGAATATGGTAAGGATTAATGACCAAGTCTGTCAGTCGACACACTGTACATGTCAAAAATGAAACACTTCCTCACTAAATTATACAAAACATACTAAAGTAATAACAAAAAAAAAGTAATGCTGTACCAACAATGTGGGAGGCTGTATCTAACAGATCTGGAGTGGGCTACTGACTGGCTCCCAGTACAGTAAAACCTATTGATAATGGATTTTCAGAGACAAAATTGGCTGGACAATTTGGACATATCGACAGTAGTGG